CGCAAGAGCCAAAACTTGACCCGAGCTCGGGACAGTCCCCCGGTGCCGGGAAATCCGTCGCCACAGACGCACACTACCAGGCCGCGAGCTATGCGCTCGAAGTCATGTCTTCCACCAACGGTACTCGTATACACAGCATCGGCTCGATGTTCAAGAGCGACAAGATCTCCTTCTGGTTCTATGACTCTTTCGGCATCGTCAGGACCGACGACTCGCAGTCACTGTCCCTGGTGGACCAGTTCGAAGAGGTAGCGGCCATCGTGGTTGCCATCGCCTGTTGCGACGCGACGCGGCTGGGTGTCATGCAAGGCGTCACTCCTCCCAAGGGATCCAAGTATCCGGCGAGCTTCCCTCCCGCCAACCTCACTGGGTATACGATCAAGATGCCGCTGCCCAACAAGCGCAGGGCACGGCAGCCGCAGATGGTGGTGACGCTCGACAAGCCTCTGTTCTGCCAGTATGCCTTGGTAGGCCGCCACACGACTGTGTACACTGCGACGACGAGTGTTGCAGTTGGACGGAAGAAGGGCAGGGCGGTGATTGTGAAGCTGTCGCAGCAGGCGAAGGGCAGGAAGCCCGAACAAGACTTCCTCAACGCCGCGTTGGAAGCCGGTGTGGATCACTTGCCGGAGCTTCACTCCTCGATAGATCTCTGGTCTCTGTCTGACGGCATCCGCAGCGTATTCCTCAAGAGGGATCCGGGCCACAACGAAATTTTCGAAGATCGAATCCTGCGAGCGATAGTCTACACACAGTATATTCCAGTGCAACAGTTTCTTGCGGAGTCATCTGACGCTCCCGAGTATATCCGGCTCATGGTCGACCAGATGATGGAATGTAAGCAAACTGATCCGCTTTCGCTGCCTGGTGGCTGACCGTGCCGCGCAGGCCTCCATGACCTGCGTCACAAAGCCAAAATCGTTCATCGCGACGTGAGCCCGAACAACATTATGATCGAGATGCGCAACGACAAACCATTCTTCATCCTCAACGACTTCGATCTCGCGACCTTCGTCCAAGACAACGGCACACGGCTCCACCCGGCGTCCTCTAAGCACCGCACCGGCACACTACCGTTCATGGCCATCGAAATACTGCAGGACATGGATATTCCCCTAACCGTAGCCAAGCCCGGCCGTATCGAGCTCCAAATCGCTCACCGCCTGCGACACGACTGGGAGTCTCTTCTGTGGGTCGCGCTGTGGTGCATGCTGACGACGGACCCTGACGCCTCCGGGACGGAGCTCGAGAGCAAGATCGTGAGCTTCCTGTCCGACTGGGAGACCGGCGAACTCAGCACCATCGCGGACGTGAAGATCTCGGTTATTCACGACTCGTCTCGTGCCGAAAAATTGATCCCTCCCCGTTTTAGGACCCTCATCCCGTGGTTCGCGCGATGGTGTGATGTCCTGCGGGACGCTCATCAGGTTATCAAGAGGCATCGACTGCTATCTCGTAAGGAGCTCGTTAGGATGGACAGAGAGACGTTGAATGGGACTATCACCTTAGAGAAGCTGAAGGAGGCGCTGCATGCTCCTGACGAAGCAGCCGAAGAGGAGGAAGAGGAGGAGGGGGAAGAGGAGGAGGAAGAGGAAGAGCACTCTGATGATTGTCCCCCAGACGTAACCGAGAACAGAGTACGGATCATTGAATGGTAACCTCTCCATATTCTAGTCAGAGTCGATGCTGCATATGGATTGTACGAATGTAATTACGGAGATGCATCAGCCATTCAAATACGACGACACGTCGCGATCTTGTATATATAACGACATCACAAGTTTCCACGGGCACGTCCTCTACTCGAACCATGTCATTCGCTCAACTATACATGCGCAGAAACAAGCTGATCAGTCTCATAGTTCCTAAGTCTAACCGCCGCATCTCCGCGGATAGGCTATCGAGTCATCGATGCTCGGCAGATGAGACTCGAGTCCACTATTCACTCCTCTACGTCAGAAGGTCTCAGCACCGGCCCAAAATCTAGCGGCGCGTGGACGCCAGCATAAAGCTCGATGGTGAGACAGGGCATCTACGTGGTAATAGAACGACTCTTGGCCGAGGTCCGGGCAGGGAACCTAGTAGCACAAATTAGGGCCGTAGAGCATGGCTTAAATTTTAAGCAGCTCCTTCCGTGAGTAGTTGTGCCACTCTTTGTCCGTGAAATAGTGTTTCGTCCCAGTGTACGCCGAAGCCTATGTACGAATGCGGTTTTGGTGAGAAACAATAAGAGAATCCGCACATTCTGCCACACGTTATACAAGCATGCTCCTTTGATAGATCGAAATGGATAGTAATGTGGTGGCGAAACTCTGTCTGCAGTACGAGATTTGCTTCGGAAAGTTCATTTCATCGTAAGCGCCTATATTAATTACTAATGCTAGTACTAGTGCTCCTTCGACTTGGCGACCACCATGACGCCAACCTCCCGTCTCTTCCTAACCCATCGCAGTTGTAAAATTGCCGTATGTTGCAGGTTCCGATACAAGCCCCGCTTTAGCAGCACGGCGTATGCGGCTGTGCCCGCCTTACCAGCGGATGTTCTGTTCTCCGTTCCTCGTCCGACCGGCGAGCAGTACCGACGCGACCCCGAGAAACAATCAGCGTTGGAAGACCCGTTAGGGCCGACAATCTGACGGTTTGAGAACTTCTGGCGCCGTACGCTGCCGGCCAGACACTGCGCCTGCCGTTGTGTGCAGCGTTCGGGAGCAATCAGGGATCACACTGATCACCTTTTCCACGGAGGACACGTTCTGCCAGTCCATGCCAGGGAGGTCGCATAGCTCAACCTCTTCGCAGGAACCACAGAAAGCTCGTGACGAGTCAAGCGACTCTGACGGTGTATTTGAGTGGAACAGCATGCCGCCTGATACCAGGGCGTTGTAGGCCAGCCCGATTCCGTTCTTCTGTCCTTCGACTTCTTCCATTATGCGAGTATAGGATTAACAGTATTAGCCAGGGCGCACGTCAATCATGCTTCGCTAATAACGGGGTGCGATCCAACAAGATATGTCTCGGAAGGTACGCCTTGACACAGCTCTTGTGTATTTTTACACGCAACGCCTTCGATTTCGTCTTTCAGCCTACTTGTCCCCACCGCGCCGCCCTGGCCGTATGGCTCCAATGTGCAAGTGTCCTGTATGTTTGTTTAATGAGCTGCAAAGCTGCACAGGGCTGATTTGACACTCTAGGCCCATCTGTGGAGTATAAAACAGCACGACGGGGTCGCCGACATCCCTCAGAGCTCTGAGCATCTCCACAGCGGACTCAGCCATGTACACTTTCACGAAGTCGCTCACCGCGCTCTCTCTTCTCGCGCTCGTCAAGGCGTTCCCCGCCACCGGCTTGTGGGGCCTCGAGCGTCGTGCGAGTTCTAACCTCACCGGCGGCTCTATCTGCCCCACCGGGGGCTTCAACATCATGGCTGAGCTGCCCGCCAACATCAACGACAACGGTGGCGAGCCTCTCCCGATGCCCAACACCTCGGCGCCCGTGTACACT